GGTTTGCCTCACTCTTTTCGTTAGGTGTGTCCACTTTTTTTTGGGTCTGTCCCACCTTTTTTCTTGGGCTTGTCCTACCTTGTTCATTAGGTTTATCTCACTTTTTTTCGTTAGCTTGGTCCCACCTTTTTTGTTAGGTTGGTCTAATTTTCTTTTCGTTATGTTTGTCCCACTTTGTTTGTTAGGTCGTGTCCCACTTTATTGTTAGGTGTGTCCTTCTGTGTTTCAAGAGGTTTATCCCACCTACCCGTTAGGGTTGTCTCACTTTATTGTTTGGGCTTGTCTCACATGTTTCGTTAGGTTTGTGCTACTTTTATTCGTTAGGTTTGTTCATTTTTCCGTTAGGTTTGCCCCACTTCTTCCGTTAGTCTTGCCTCACCTTCTTCGTCAGGTTGGTCTCAATTTTTTCGTTAGGTTTGCCCCATTTTTTTTGTTAGGTTTGCCTCACTCTTTTCGTTAGGTTTGTCCACTTTTTTGTTGGGTCCGTTCCACCTTTTTTCTTGGGCTTGTCCTACTTTTCTCATTAGGTTTGTCCCACTTTTTTTCGTTAGCTTTGTCCCACCTTTTCTGTTAGGTTGGTCCCATTTTTTTTTCGTTAGGTCTGACCCGCCTTTTTCAGTAGGTTTGTCCCACTCATTTTAGTTGAATTGACAGGTGACACATGGCAACTGATAGATGGCAGATGACATATGACACATGACATATGACAGCTGACACATGCCAGATGGCAGATGATGCTCTACAGATGACAGATGACATATGGCAGATGGCAGGTGACTGATGACTGATTACAGATCAGACCAAACCAAGTCCAACCTGAAGCATTATACAAAAAAGTTAGGTTTGTGTCAGTATATTTCTCACGTTCATCACTCTCCATTTCATTATGTTTCTAACATTTTTTTGTTAGGTTAGCCCCAGATTATCATTTAGGTTTGTTCGATAGTACGTTAGTTCGATAGTGCGATTGTTCGATAGTATGATAGTAGGTTATTTCGATAGTACGATAGTTCGATACCCATTTTTTCGTTGGTTTTGTCCTACATTTTCGCGTTAGTTTTGAATCACTTTTTCCGTTAGGTTTGTCCCTTTTTTCGTCAGGTTTGTCCCACTTCATTTCGTTAGGTTTATCTCACTTTTTTTGTCAGGTTTGTCGCATTATTTTCGTTAGCTTTGCCCGACCTAGGCTTGTCCCAATTTTTTCGTTTGACTTGTCCCACTTTCTTTGTCAGGTTTGTCCCACTTCATTTTGTTAGGTCTATCGGACTTTTTTTAGTTAATTTTGTCATATTATTTTCGTTGAGATTGTCCCACTTATTTCGTTAGGCTTGTCCACTGCCTTTCGATAGGCTTGTCCTTCTTTTGTTAGATTTGTGCAACTTTATTTTTCGTTAGGCTTGTCCCACTCTCTATGGTAGGCTTGTCCTACTTTTTCTTCGCTAGATTTTTCCCACTTTTTCCGTTAATCTTGTCCTAATTTTTCCGTATGGTTTGTCTCACTCTTGTTGTTAGGTTTGTCCCACTTCATTTGGTTAGGGTTCTCCCAATTTGTTTCCGTTGGGTTTGTCCCACCTTTTTCGTTAGGTTTGCCCCACTTTTCCGCTAGGTTTGTCTGACTTGTTTCGATAGGCTTGTCTCTCCTTTTTCGTTAGGTTTGTGCTACTTTTATTCGTTATTGTTGTGTATAGTGGACTGTATTTTTATTGATTACATTTATGTTTTTGTTCAATGTATTGTATGTACATTTCATGAGAAACTGTCGTAATTGAAAAATTGTCTATACCGAACAGATTTTCTGGTTATCGTCAAAAAATGGTAGCTTCTTCCGGCCTCTCTCCTAGTCGCTCCGAGAGGAAGGCATCCCATTGGACCGTTCAAAATTCAACGGTCTTCCGGTCGGCAGTGGTAGGCTGCGCGCTGGATGGTGGCGCACTCCTGCGGGAGATGGTCGAAACCCATTTTGCCAGTGGCGTAGCACATACATGCCCCGGGCCTTGGGAATCCTGCGGATGGACAACCGGCAATGGAACCAGGCGGTTGATAGCTCTAGAAGTCATTCCGTTCTCGGTTTTCAACGATGCAACTCGGGGGACGCCGTCGGTGCCAGGTGACAGCTGAATGACTCTTCCAAGACGCCACTTGGCTGGAGGGGCGTTGTCGTCTTTCATTAGCACTAGCTGTTCTATCTGTAGATCTCCTCGGGTTTGCTTCCAACGACAGCGCTGTTGCAGTTCGCTGATATATTCTTTGCTCCATCTAGTCCAAAAATGGCTGTGCAGGCGGTCTAATAACTGGAATTGGCTCAATCTATTTTCGGGGGCAGACATATTTGTAGGTACTGGCAGAGTCTGCATCGATTTACCAATTAAGAAGTGAGCAGGCGTTAAAGGGGTCAAATCTTCAGGGTCAGAGCTCAAAGGAAATAAAGGACGGGAGTTCAATATAGCTTCAATGCGAATTAAAAGCGTTTGAAAGTCTAAAAGATAAAGTTTATGAAGTCCCACTGATCTCTTTAAGTGATGTTTTACACCTTTTACACCGGCTTCCCATATTCCGCCGAAGTGAGGGGAGTTTACTGGTATGAAATGCCACTTTATGCCCATGTCAGCAGTTTTGGAATAAATTGTCTCTGAATTCTCATTAAGAAAGGTGTACATATACTTTACCTCTTTAGCAGCCCCAATGAAATTGGTACCGTTGTCGGAGAATATTTCTAATGGCTTACCACGTCTAGCAATAAAACGATGAAGGGCTTGGAGGAAGTCATCGGTGCTCAATGATAACACAAGTTCCAAATGAATGGCTCGAGTACTGAAGCATACGAATAGAGCTACCCAACATTTTATAACTTTGCAACCTCGTCCTCTTTTGTCTTTGATTGCAAAAGGTCCCGCATAATCAATTCCGACATGCGAAAATGGTAAAGAAGGATGAGCGCGAGCCTTAGGCAATGAACCCATGATTGGTTGAAAGTTACGTGCAGCATGCCTAGCGCAAATTACGCATTCCCGTACTATTTTTCGTGCCAGATTGCGCCCGGAAATGGGCCAAAAATTCTCTCGTATGGTAGCTAGCAAAAGTTGCGGACCCGCGTGAAGTAAGGTCCGATGCTCATGTTCGAATATAAGTCTAGTAAGGTGGTGTTTTTGAGGAAGCACAATTGGATGCTTTTTATCATACGGATATTCAGAGTTTACCAAGCGCCCTCCAACGCGCATGATTCCGCATTCGTCTATGAATGGGTTTAAGCTAACTAAGCGGTTATTGCATTGAAGTTTACGATTCTTTTGTAAAGAACTGATCTCCTCTGAAAACGCTTCCTGTTGCGCTAATCGTATCAAAAGGGTGAAGGATCTTTCTAGTTCGTTTACTGTAAAATGCTCAAGCGCACGATCACCTGGTTTTAAACGTGAATTATTTATAAATTTCAAAATATACGCTGAACAGTGTTTTAATTTGGTTAGGGTGGAGAATCTATGAAAGGGAAAATGAATTGCTGGTGTGGAGGAAATATTACACACTTTCCTCTGTTCCGGTAGTTCTGATAATAATATTGGCGAGGTTGGCCATTGATCGAGGTATAATAACCAGTCTGGTCCATGAAACCATAACTTTGAATGCATTAGAGAACTAGGGCTGAGACCTCTCGAGACAATGTCAGCTGGGTTGTCCAGAGTGGAAACATGATGCCATTCTATAGATTCTGTCAGTCGCTGAATTTCTGAGACGCGATTGGCTACAAATGGCTTCAAAGTACTAGGGTTGGATTTTAGCCAGCCCAAAACAATCGTAGAGTCCGTCCAACAGTGAATGGAACTAAATGAGGTGTCAATTGATTTTGATATTTTTGCAATTAATTGAGACGCAACTAACGCAGCGCATAATTCTAGTCGAGGCATTGATTGAGATTTGATAGGCGCAACCTTAGATTTAGCGCACAGAAGGTTGGCGGTTTTATTACCACTTGCATTTTCAGATACAATGTATACGCATGCTCCGTAGCTTTTTTCCGAAGCATCTGCAAATGCATGCATTGATATTGCCGTTGCCTTGTCACATACTACCTTGCGATTGATGATAAGCTTATTCAAAATATTTAAGTCTTCTGCAAGACTGAGCCATGACTTGCGCATGTCAACTGGCAGCGGAGTGTCCCAGGCTATACTTTCCGCCCAAAGTGATTGCAATAGGACCTTAGCCTTGATTACGCAAGGACTAAGCAACCCTAGTGGGTCAAAGATAGTTGAAATTTTCGACAAAATTTGCCTTTTGGTAATATTCGCTGTGTGGTTAGTTTCAGAATGAATTTTATATGTAAGAGTGTCTGATTCTGGACGCCACACGAGTCCTAAAGTTTTGCTCGTTAGATCGTCCTTGCTTGTGAAATCGACTAAATGATTACTGTTAACTGAATCAAAGCCCTTTAAAACATCTAAATTATTTGACTTCCACTTTCGTAATTCAAAACCGTGCTTTTGAAGTATTTTGGAAATATTCTGACATACATATACGGCTTCTTCTAGTGTATCTACGCCCGTCAATAGATCATCCACGTACATGTCATTCTTTATTATTTTTGATATTGAGGGAAATTCATGCTTGCATCTGAATGCGATTTCATGTAAGCAACGAATGGCTAGAAATGAAGCAGCTGTGGTGCCATAAGTCACTGTATTTAAATGATACGTCTTTAAATCTTCATCTGGACTGGAGCGCCAAACTATTTTTTGTAAATTTCTTTGATCTGAGTGAATAAGAACTTGTCTGTACATCATTTTGATGTCGCTTGAAAGAACAATATTTTTGAATCGAAAACGCAATATGACTGAAAGCAAATCCTGTTGGATTATTGGACCTGTCATTTGAAGGTCGTTCAAGGAAACTCCTGTCGAGGTTGGAGATGAAGCATTGAAAACTACTCTCAGCTTTGTTGTGGCTGACGATTCCTTTAGGACACCGTGGTGAGGAAGATAGTATTCTGGCTCATGATTAATGTCTGTGATTTCTGTCATGTGACCTAATGACGCATATTCCTTTAAAAAATCCGTATAAAGTTGTCTGAAATGATCATTTGAAGCGAATTTCCTTTCTAATGCAACGAAACGTTTAATTGCTACCTCTCGTGAATGACCCAGCTTGTCTGGAGATTCTTTGAATGGCAATGACACCATGAAACGTCCGTTTTCTAAAACTTGCAGATTTTCAATAAAATGTTTTTCGCATAAACGCTCTTCTGGGGACCAAGCCGGGGAATCAAATGGGATTTCTTCCAGCTCCCAGAACTTTCTTAACTGATTCTGTAAAGGATCTGTTACTGACAAATGACAGTGAGTTTTTGTGACTGGCATGGATAATGGACCAGCGAGGACCCAACCTAATTTGGTATTTTGCAAAATGGGTAAATCTTTACTAATGTTGATGCGTTCACTCTCTAAGATTTGCCAAAAAACATCTGCACCGATTAAAATGTCAATATTTCGTGTAACATTGAATTCTGGATCTGCCAGTTTGATGTTGACTGGTAAATTGAAATGTTGAATAGGAATATTATTGTCAGGAACCATTGAGGTTATCTTGTCTAAAACAAAACATGACATATGGATTGAATATTGACTATGTCTCGAGTGAATGCTTAATTCACACTTGTAATTAGCATATGACAGCTTGTCACTTATGCCAGTAACTGCCAACTTGACCTTAGACTTGGGTAGCTTTAGTTTGTTACATAGATCTGTGGTTATGAATGAGGATTGCGAGCCACAATCTAACAGTGCTCGTGCTGTTACGAAATGCTGTGTGCTTGACTTACCTGTGACATCCACCTGTGCTGTGGCAAGTAAGGCATTCTGTGCTGCTACTAGAGTGCATTGGGTGGCACCTACCTTGACCTCATTGGATTCATTGTGTGTATCATTGATCTCATCAACTTGGGTTACTGATACTGAAACATTTTGATTTGTGTGTAAAAGCGTGTTATGCTTAATGTGACATAGCCTGCATCCAGAAGATTTGCAGTCACGCGACGTGTGTTCCTTTCTTAAACAATTCAGGCACAATTGCAGCGATTTGACTTTGTTGAATCGCTCTTGTACTGATAATTTCAAGAAGTCCGAACAATAAAATATGCTGTGATCACCTTTGCAATTGTAACAAACTCTGTTTGATTTGCTAACATTTTCACCTTGATTTGAGATACCACTAGTGACTAAACCCTTTGAACGAGCAGAACCCTTTGAATATCTTTTATCTGATTGATATCGTGATGAATCACCTTTTGAAACATAATTCATTTCTAGTTTTTCTAACAATGTTGCTCTTTTTCTGAGGAAATCTTTAAACTCAACCAATGTGGGTATATCTGTATTTGCTGTGTGCCGCTCCCACTCTTGGCTTGAGTAGCGATCTAATTTACTGACTGTTAAATAGATGACTAGGACATCCCACTTTTCTATGCTGATACCTAACTGCTTTAGACTTTTTAAATGTTTGAAAAGATTCTCAGATACTTCTCTGATTTTTGCTGATGAAGCAGTGCTGAAACCCTCAAAGTTGCAAATTGCACGTAAATGATTTTGAATTAGAACCTGTTTGTTATCATACCTGTCTCTAAGAACTTGCCAAGCTATGCTGTAGTTGTCTGCTGTAAATTCGATTTCTTGAATTACACGGTTTGCATCTCCGGCTAATGAAGCCCGCAAATAGTGAAACTTACGTATGTTGTGTAGCTGTGTATTCATATGTATCATGGACTCGAAGGTTTCCCGAAACTCCATCCAAGACTCATATTCGCCATTGAATTTTGGTAAATCTACATCAGGCAGTTTGAAGCCATCATTTTGTCACTGAATAACATGAGTGGCCTGACCTTGTGTGTAAACTGATTGCTCTGAAATTGATTGCGTATCAGATTCAGATTGTTGTGATTTAGTGTCATCATTGTTGTGAGGAATGTTGTTACTGAGATTACTTTGTGATTCTAATAAACATTTAGCTCTTGAGAGCTGAAGATAGAACTTGGTTTCAAAATCCTCTCTTTCTGCATAGCATGCTTCTGGATTATCTGATTCACATTCAATTTCTGACTGAATTTCATCGAAGCTGTCAAAAAGGGTTTCGAATTTAGTACACCGTTCTTGCATATGAATTATAGTTTGTCTGTCTAAATCTTGAGGCTGTACGCTGTTCAAGAATTTTTCAAAATGAGCCAACTTGGCTTTGATTGTGCCTCGTTTCCTGATCAAAACTGATTGTGCCATTGTGTAATTGCTTTATGTGAATGAGTATCGATAAAAAATGATCGAAATTGATGAATTGGGCATAAATTGACACCAGTAAACGTTCTCACTTGAGAGTATATTGCTTTTCTAGGCTGTTGAATGCCTGCACATGTAATACGAGTCGAAATTCAAAGTAGCATTTGTCGCTATATTGACTGAATCAAGGAAATGGTAGATGGGTACCTGTGTGGATTTCTGTCTTCCACTTGTATTGCTGATTGCGTTGAACTTCTGTGAATATGGCGTGGATTCTTGCCTGCACTTGTGAACTTGTTTCTTGTTTACTTGCTTGTTTCACTGGCTATCCGGCTCGATTGGACCAAATGTTGTGTATAGTGGACTGTATTTTTATTGATTACATTTATGTTTTTGTTCAATGTATTGTATGTACATTTCATGAGAAACTGTCGTAATTGAAAAATTGTCTATACCGAACAGATTTTCTGGTTATCGTCAAAAAATGGTAGCTTCTTCCGGCCTCTCTCCTAGTCGCTCCGAGAGGAAGGCATCCCATTGGACCGTTCAAAATTCAACGGTCTTCCGGTCGGCAGTGGTAGGCTGCGCGCTGGATGGTGGCGCGCTCCTGCGGGAGATGGTCGAAACCCATTTTGCCAGTGGCGTAGCACATACAGTTATGTTTGTCCCACTTTTCCATTAGGTTTGCCTCACATCTTCCGTTAAGCTTGCCTCACCTTTTTCGTCAGGTTGGACACAATTTTTTCGTTAGGTTTGCCCCACCTTTTTGTTAGGTTTGCCTCACTCTTTTCGTTAGGTGTGTCTACTTTTTTTGTTGGGTCTGTCCCACCTTTTTTCTTGGGCTTGTCCTACCTTGTTCATTAGGTTTATCTCACTATTTTTCGTTAGCTTGGTCCCACCTTTTTTGTTAGGTTGGTCTAATCTTCTTTTCGTTATGCTTGTCTCACTTTGTTTGTTAGGTATTATCCCACTTTATTGTTAGGTGTGTCGTTCTGTGTTTCATTAGGTTTATCCCACCTATCCGTTAGGGTTGTCTCACTTTATTGTTTGGGCTTGTCTCACCTGTTTCGTTAGGTTTGTGCTACTTTTATTCAATAGGTTTGTTCATTTTTCCGTTAGGTTTGCCCCACTTCTTCCGTTAGTCTTGCCTCACCTACTTCGTCGGGTTGGTCTCAATTTTTTCGTTAGGTTTGCCCCATTTTTTTTGTTAGGTTTGCCTCACTTTTTTCGTCAGATTTTGTCCACTTTTTTTGTTGGGTGTGTTCCACCTTTTTTCTTGGGCTTTGTCCCAACTTTTCTGTTAGGTTGGTCCCATTTTTTTTTCGTTAGGTCTGACCCACATTTTTCAGTAGGTTTGTCCCACTCATTTTAGTTGAATTGACAGGTGACAGATAGCAACTGATAGATGACAGATGACATATGACAGCTGACACATGGCAGATGGCAGATGACGCTCTACAGATGACAGATGACATATGGCAGATGACTGATTACAGATCAAACCAAACCAAGTCCAACCTGAAGCATTATACAAAAAAGTTAGGTTTGTGTCAGTATATTTGTTGCGTTCATCCCACTCCATTTCATTATGTTTCTGCCATTTTTTTGTTAGGTTAGCCCCAGATTATCATTTAGGTTTGTCCCACTTTTTTCTTTAGGTTTCTCCTACTTTTTCGTTAAGCTCGATAGTTCGGTAATACGATTGTTCGATAGTATAATAGTTCGATAGTACGATAGTTAGATACCCATTGTTTCGTTGGTTTAGTCCTACATTTTCACACTAGGTTTAAATCACTTTTTCCGTTAGGTTTGTCCCACTTCATTTTGTTAGGTCTATCGGACTTTTTTTAGTTAGGTTCGTCATTATATTTTCGTTGAGTTTGTCCCACTTATTTGGTTAGGTTAGTCCCACTTCCTTTCCATAGGCTTGTCCTTTTTTTTTGTTATATTTGTGCAACTCTATTTTTCGTTAAGCTTGTCCCACTCTCTACGGTAGGCTTGTCCTACCTTTTTTCGTTATGTTTGTCTCACTGTTTTTCGCTAGGTTTATCTCGCTTAGATAGGTTTGTGTCACTTTTTCCGTTAGGTTTGTTCCACCTTTCTCGTTAGGTTTGTCCCACATTTTTCGTTAACATTATCCCAATTTCTTCGATGGCTTGGTCCTACTTTCTTGTCAGGTTTGTCCCACTTCGTTTTTTAGGACGATCTCACTTTTTTGTTATATTATTTTCGTCAAGTTTGCCCCACTTATTTCGTTAGGCTTGTCCTACTTTTTTTCGTTAGGTTTATCTCACTTTTTCCGTTAATCTTGTACTAATTTTTTTGTATGGTTTGTTCTACTTTTTTTTAGGTTTGTCCCACTTTTTTCCGTTGGGCTTGTCCCACTTTTTTTGTTAGGTTTATCAAACTTTTTTTTTTCAGGTTTGTCCCATTATTTTCGTTAGCTCTTGTCCCAATTTTTCCGTACGGCTTGTCCCACTTTCTTTGTCAGGTTTGTCCCACTTCATTTTGTTAGGCCTATCGGACTTTTTTTAGTTAGGTTTGTAATATTATTTTCGTTGAGTTTGTCCCACTTATTTCGTTAGGTTTGTCCCACTTCTTTTCGATAGGCTTGCGCTTTTTTTGTTAGATTTGTGCAACTTTATTTTTCGGCATGTCCCACTCTCTATGGTAGGCTTGTCCTACTTTTTTTCGTTATGTTTGTCTCTCTGTTTTTCGCTAGGTTTATCCCTCTTCTTAGCTAGCCTCTAGCTACGTTCACGGTGCAGCTTACGTTATTCAGCATAGCTGATGTTACCCGACCCTCCAGAGTAGAGAGGACCCAATCTATTAGGATGATCCAATCCCGTGTCTAACCAAGGCCTGTCTGATAGAGTCGGTTGTGGTGCAATTAAATGCACCTTCAATGTCCAAGAAGGCCACGAGTGCCACTTCTCGCTGATCTAGAGTCTTCTCCAGCCTACCGATCAGATTGTGTAAGGCCAGATCAGTCGATTTTCCAGCTTGGTATGCAAACTGATTTGAATGAATGACACACCTTTCCAGCGGGCCATCCCTTAAGTATCTGTCAACTATCCTTTCCAGTGTCTTAAGCACAAAAGATGAAAGAGTAATCGGTCGAAAATCCTTCGGGCCAGGATATCTATCTCTGCCCGGTTTAGACTTTTTCCGTTATGCCTGTCTCACTTTTTTCGCTAGGTATGTCAGAGTTTTTTTTCGTCAGCATTGTCCCACTTTTTTTGTTAGGTTAGTTCCACTTTTTTTGTTAGGTTTGTCCTTCTGTGTTTCATTAGGTTTATCCCACCTATCCGTTAGGTTTGTCTCACTTTATTCGTTGAGCTTGTCTCACATGTTCACCTGTTTCGTTAGGTTTGTGATACTTACGGTAATACGATTGTTCGATGTTATGATAGTTCGATAGTACGTTAGTTCGATAGTACGATAGTTAGATACCCATTTTTTCGTTGGTTTAGTCCTACATTTTCTCGTTAAGTTTGAATCACTTTTTCCGTTAGGTTTGTCCCACTTCTTCCGTTACGCTTGCCTCATCTTTTTGGTCAGGTTTTCCTCACTCTTTTCGTTAGGTTTGGCCACTTTTTTGTCGGGTCCGTCCCACCTTTTTTCTTAGGCTTGTGCTATTTTTATTTGTTAGGTTTGTCCCACTTTTCTTGTTAGGTTTGCCTCACCCTTTTCGTTAGGTTTGTCCTCTTTTTTTTGTCGGGTCTGTCCCACCTTTTTTCTTGGGCTTGTCCTACTGTTTTCATTAGGTTTGTCCTACTTTTTTTCGTTAGCTTTGTCCCACCTTTTTTGTTAGGTTGGTCCCATTTTTTTTCGTTAGGTTTGACCCACCTTTTTCAGTAGGTTTTTCCACTTATTATTTTAGTTGGATTGGCAGGTGATGGATGACAACTGACAGATGACAAACCAAACCAAATCCAAATTAAAGTACTACACAAAAAAGTTAGGTTTGTGTCAGTATAACTGTCACGATTATCCCACTGCATATCATTATGTTTGTGCCATTGTTTTTGTTACAACCAGATTATCATTTAGATTTGTCCCACTTTTTTCGTTAGGTTTCTCCTACTTTTTTGTTAGGTTAGATTGTTCGGTAATACGATTGTTCGAAGGTATGATAGTTCGATAGTACGATAGCTCAATACCCATTTTTTCGTTGGTCTAGTCCTACATTTTCACGTTAGGTTTGAATCACCTTTTTCGTTAGGTTTATCTCACTTTTTTCGTAAGGTTTGTTCCATTATTTTCGTTAACTTTGCCCCACCTAGGCTTGTCATAATTTTTTCATTTGATTTATCCCACTTTCTTTGTCAGGTTTGTCCCTCTTCATTTTGTTAGGTTTGTCCCCACTTTCTTCTGTCATCTTTGTCCTATTTTTTTTTCGATAGGTTTGTTTTACTGTTTTTCGTTAGGCTTGCCTCACCTTTCCGCTAGGTTTGTCTGACTTTTTTCGTTAGACTTGTCTCGCCTTTTTCGTTAGGTTTGTCTAACTTGTTTTTGTTAGGTTTGTCACTCTTTTCCGTTAGAATTTTCTCACCTTTTTCGTTAGGTTTGTCCCAGTTTCTGTCAGGTTTGTCCTAATTCGTTGCATTAGGTTTATCTCACTTTTTTTTGTTAGGCTTGGCTCAGTTTTTTCATTAGACTTGTCCCAATTTTTTCGTTTGGTTGGTCCTATTTTCTTCATTGGGTTCGTCCTATTTTTTTCGTTCGGCTTGTCCCTGTTTTTTCGTTGGGTTTGTCCCACTTTATTTCGTTAGTTTTGTCCCACTTTTTTCCATTTGGTTTGACCCACTCTTTTCGTTGGGCATATCCCAATTATTTCGTTTGGTATTCCCTACCTTTTTCGTCAGATCTGCCCCGCTTCATTTCTTTAGACTTATCTCTCTTTTTTTGTTACTGTTGGTTCAGCTTGCCTTCGTTTGGTTTGTTCCACTTTTGTTAGGTATGTCCCACCTCATGTCGTACTTTTTTTCATCAGGTTTGTC